ATTTCTCTTCAAATCTTAACTAAAGGCCAAAGAATATCTACTCTAATCACTCATTAATCTTCTCAAGATTCAATCCCATATTCAATAAATAACTAAGCATGTATTTTAAGGAACATATTCTTTGAATATTATTTGGGGGATAGATTTCTCCTTTTTATTACAAGGCTCACATAAGGATATATAGTGCTGCTCTTTCCACTAGATTTCAGTTTGGAGGCTCTTGTCATCAAGGTGGTGATATTGCTAAAACTTAAACATATCTTTCGGTTTAAATAAATGACTGCTGTTAAAATTGTTACCTCAAAATCTTTAAATCAAAGTTAATGCTGAAAAACAGCAGTCAAAATTTTAAGATAGAAATAACCACACGTGTATATTTGCTTTTAAAATCCTACATATTACATCTAGACAAAGTATTTTAAGCAGCCAAGTTTGGTACATTTTGGTTTCCTGTTATAAATTATACTAACATTTTATGAGACTGACTTCTTAAGGAATGCCTGTAGTGTTTATATAGTATTTAAATGCAAAAGAGAATTTTTTTTTTTTTTTTAAAGATTTTATTTATTTATTTGACAGAGAGAGACACAGCGAGAGAGGGAACACAAGCAGGGGGAGTGGGGGAGGGAGAGGCAGGCTTTCCAAAGAGCAGGGAGCCTGATGCGGGACTCGATCCCAGGACCCTGGGATCATGACCTGAGCTGAAGGCAGTCGCTTAACCAACTGAGCCACCCAGGCGCCCCAAAAGAGAATATTAATATAAAACATTATCAATTAATTTTTATTCAACCTGACAATATTTTCTGTAAGATACATAGTCATCCTGGGTGTGTAATTAATTTTGAATGACCACATATAGATGGATAGAGCTGTGCTCTTTTAAGTGTATATGCAATTAATAGTGGCTATTGTTGTTTCATTAAATCTCTTTGAAGATCTTTTACTTTGGGAGGTGTAAGTAATTTTTGATTGTAATAATATATTCACATACATGTTTTTAAATCTCACTTCCTTATGAAGGTAAAGATGTGGCCATTCTAAAAAAATGGCTAGTTTTGTTTATTTAGAAAGACAGTAAAAAACCAGGACTCATTTGTTATTATACTGTTGTTAGGACTGTAGCATTAATCTGGTCCACTAACCTTTAAAAGAAACTGCAAAGTCAAAGACGTCAGGTTGTAGCAGTAAATATTCACTGGCAAAGTTTTTATATCAAAGATTGGAACTTTAGGAGATGCTCCTGGGATTTAGTGTACTCTAACATCTATTAATCCCTGATACCTTGGGTGACTTGTCAAAAAGTGCTCCACTTACAAAGGGCATGCAAGGAGGCCCAAGAGGGCACATTCAGCGAAAGGTCAAGGACGCAATTACTGTTTCCTGCTTTTCCCTAAGGAACTTCTGCAGCAAATGCTGCCCCCACCCCCACCCCATCTCAGCAAGGCCTGTGAATATAATGAAATGAAAGTTCAAGTTCCAGTAAAACATATTACGAATATTTTTTTTTAAAGATTTTATTTATTTATTTGATAGAGAGAGACACAGTGAGAGAAGGAAAACAAGCAGGGGGAGAGGGAGAGGGAGAGGGAGAAGCAGACTCCCCACGGAGCAGGGAGCCCGATGCGGGGCTCAATCCCAGGACCCTGGGATCATGACCTGAGCTGAAGGCAGACGCTTAACTGACTGAGCCACCCAGGCGCCCCTATATTTTTGGTTCTTAGAGCTCTTCTTGCATGTGAACGCATGCCATAGTTGAAGAAGTACAGTGAAATGGATTTGAAGAGGTGGCTCTTGCTGAAGAATATCAGTTTTTCATCTCTGTTTTCCTGTATCTCTGCCAAAGGTCAGTGTTTGTGCTGGTGGTGGAGTGGGTGTAGACTGGGCCCTTCCTATGGCATTAAGTTAAGTTAGAGTTTTTTTGAGGAGTACCTGTTTCTGTGTGGATCCTTAGAAGGACTCTACTGAGGGATCACAAAATATAGGATAGGAAATCATATTGACAGGAAGTCCCCCCAGGTTTGTGGCCTCTGAGGGAAGTTTTCAACAATGTCAAACTTGATCTACCTCCATCTAGCCATTCTGCTCCCTGAATACTGGGGAATGATGTTATCAGATCTCATAGGACAGAGTTGGAAATAACATCTCTTAGGACTTAGGGACTCAACATTGTCACTTCTACTTATTCTTGCCTCAATGCAGTGGAGAAGTTTAAAAGTCTCTTGAGGTTTTCACATACTCTTGAGTCCAGAATTTTTAAGACTGGCACTGGAGATATATATATATATATATATATATAAAATTTTTTTTTTTTTTGCTTGTTTTCCTCTGTCCTAAAATTTTGGAACATGTTTTAAAAATAAAAGTTTGCTCACCTTGGAGCTTACTTTTAGGAGTAATAGACAAAAAATCGGTGGTGTCAGATTTTGGCTTAATATTGAGAAGAATTTTCAATAATCATATTTTCTAAATGTATCTTGTGAAGTAACATATTTACCCTTATTGGGAATATTCAAAGAGGCTGAACAAGCTGATATGTAGTTTACACCCAACATGAGCATGAGGTGCAATAGAAGGTATCTGAAGTGTTTTCCATCTTGACATTCTAGGATTTTTTTTTTTAAAGATTTTATTTATTTATTTGACAGAGAGAACACAAGCAGGGGGAGTGGGAGAGGAGAAGCAGGCTTCCCGCTGAGCAAGGAGCCTGATGTGGGGCTTGATCCCAGGACCCTGGGATCATGACCTGAGCTGAAGGCAGACGCTTAGTGACTGAGCCACCCAGGTGCCCTGACATTCTAGGATTCTATGACATTTTATTTTTGAGTGATGCATCTGTTTTAAAACTTTGAATAATTGCAGTGTTGGAAATTGTGAAAGTTTTTAATTTTTGAGATTTGGGAAATAAGTTTTCTAGGAGGAGATTGTCTTCTATGAGGACCAGAATAAGAAATTTTTGTATTGCCCCCAAATTTCTTGGAAATACTTGTATTTGTTATTTGTTTATTTACTTGCTTATTTTTGGATCTCAGGACTGAGGTGTGAGTTAATCATGCCCATCAGGTCATGATGCACTCCCATCAGGCAAGACTCCACCTTGTATGTATATCCATCCGTATGTTCCTTCCTTCCACCCTCCCCTCCCCTCTCCTCCCCTCCCTTCCTTCCTTCCCTGCCCCTCCCTTTCCCTACTTCTTCTTTTAAGCATTAAGAACTATGCTGAAGAGAACTAGCCCTGGATTGAGTGCTGGGTTGGGGAAGTGGCTAGCAGGACTCTAGCCAGACTCAGAGAATAGAAAGGAGACTTGAAAAGTCAATGGGTGTTAAGAATTGGTATAAGAAATACAAAGCTTCTCTATTAATGCAAATCATAGATCAAAGGTTAAACTTAAGACACATTTCCTTCCTGAAGCCATTCATTAGTGACCCTCACCACAGTGCATTCCCCCTTACTTATTTAACTCTAGAATTTTCTTTTATTCTAGAGTTATAGTCGACTAGTAAGAATTGTAGATATTTAAGGTGTGTGAATTATGTTTTGATATATATATAGATGTATAGATGTATAGATATATAGAAATGAACACAGCAATCAAGCTAATTGACATATCCATCACTTCACATAGTTACTGTTTTCTTGTTTTTGTGATGAGAACACTTAAGAGCTACTCTCTTAGCCAATTTCAAGTATACATTATTATTAACTATAGTCACCATGCTATGCATTGGATCTCCAGAACTTACTAATCTTGCGTAAATGAAACTGCACCCTTTGACCAATATCTCCCCATTTCCCCTACCCCTGCTCCTGGCAACCACCATTCTACTCTCTGCTTCTATGAGTAAGTATAGAATTTTCAATTAATTTAATTCTGATACCTCACAATCCAATATTTTTGTTTATATGGTGATCATGTTAATATTATTTAGTTTCATGACCAAGATATAATAAGTTATAATAATGATAATGATTTATTGAGCTCCATGTAATAGCCAAGGTGCTAAGCACTTTACATACAGCATCTTGTTTAAATCACCCAGCACTCTTTGGTGCTATCTTCTATCTTTCACATTTTACAAAGGAGGAAATAGAGACGTAGAGAAAGATGTGTGTCTTGCTCCATAACTAGTTTGTAAATTCTTAGAGACAACCAGTTTTTTTAAATTACATTCTAGCTTTTTAGGAGTAGAGAGGGGGCTTTGGAACAATAAAAAAAAAAAAAAAAGAACTCATATTTTGGCTCCTTCATTTACAAGTTGCATGAACTTGGTCAAGTTAATAAGGCTCTCTGAATTTTAGTTTTATTGCCTGTAAAAGCGCAAATAATAATGCCTACCTCACAAAATTATTGCAAAAATTACATGAAATAAAATGAAATTACATGAAATATCATATATGATATATTTAACATGGTCTGGCTTGTTAACTATGTGCTCAGTAATTGGTATTGTTGCTTATGAACTTTATCCAATGTCGCGGATGTTAAGATGCCATGAGTTGCCCAAAGTAATGGTATAAAAACAAGTAATAATAAAATAATACAAAGGTGTGTTTTTGGATGGTATTAAATATCTTTTGCCTAAGTAAAGGCAGGTCATAAAGGATATACTACTATACATTATTGACAGGAATTACACTATGTAGCCATTGTGAATAGTCAAGATCTTATGTTCCATCACCAATCTTTCTCTCTTGTTCTAGATGAATAGATTGGTAGCCCTTGAAATATATTGCTTTTTAAAAAGTATATCAATTATTATTTGTTTCATGTGGCTTTGCAGAAACGAATTATTATTTGTTTCATGTGGCTGTGGATGTATGAAATGTTAGCTTATAGTATGAGTTATTTTAAAATAGTTTACCTTACTCTTACACTGCACTTAAAGTCAATGAATATTCAAAAGTAACTTAGAATGAGTAGAAATGCTACATTTCCATCAGGTTCTTTTTCCCGGTTCTTACCAACGCAACCACAACCATTGACTTTTTCTTTTCCTTTCAGAGAAGAGAGATGATGACAACAAGAAGGTGGTTGCAGAGATCATGGCAAGATGTTTTGTTCCAAGTCTAATAACAACCACTTCCTGGGAGGGGTTTCATTTTGTCGGTCATGAGATTCGGATTACTGAAGCCATGGATTGTTATGGTGCTGTTGTTTGGCCATCGGTATAATTTCACACAGAATTTGCACATTTCAATGGTTTTCCAACCAGTTTTGTTCCTTATTGTGTACTATTTGGAAGGAAAAAATAGGTTCCACAGTTCTATTTTGTGACCTCAAACAATGCTAAAACTTAGAAATCACGAGATTGGGAAAATGCTTCCACCAATTAATTCTATTTTTGACTTGTAGGATTAATAGAGAATGCTGTTTAAACCTTCAGTGTTTTGTGACTGTGGGAGTTTAGAATAGCAAACATTTTTATTTCCCATTCAGTTGGCTCCATTTGAGTTAAATAATCATAATGAAATCTATCAGTCTCAACATGCAGAATGTTCTACAAGGTCACCAATCCTTTACCAGTTGTCCATGAAGGGTGCAGACCCCCCCTCTTCTCTCCACTGTCTGCCCCAATCCCACACACTTCTTTTAAGTGACTATTATTATTATTACTATAAGTTGCTTTCTTTAAAGATAATCATATCTAAGCAACTGAGTTCCATAGTTTCATTTCTCTTATCTCCCCAACAACCCTCAAGGACTTTTTCTAGTCTAAATGTTGAACCTATTGGAGGATGTACTTCTGTTGATAATTTTCTGTAGTGGTGTGAACATATTCACACATACATTCACATGTGTCCATGCATCATAGCATTAGTGTATATAGTATACTTATATAATAGACTTTTATTTTACTTTCTGTTATTACTTGCCAAGCACTACTTTTTTCTTTTTTAAAAACTTTCATAGGCCCTCATTCTATGCTATTTTCTGGAAACAAATGTGAAGCACTATAATATGGTTGACAAAAATGTGATTGAAATTGGAGCTGGAACAGGGCTAGTCTCCATCGTGGCAAGTTTACTTGGTAAGTAGGTATTTTTGATTGAACGGGGTCAGAGAATTTAATGATCAGATGTTATTAGCTGCTTTTACTATCCAGTTTACTCTGACCTAGGCCTATTTTTAACTCCTTAATTGTTTGAATGGGCTTCATCAAGAAACACTACCAATTTTAAAGTCACCTTACTGGTTTGTTTGAGAATTTTCTGGGAAGTTGTATTAATTCTGCTCATGGAGCACCAATGTCACAAGTGTATTCTAATTGGGAGGTGCGCTCAGGCCTCCTGGCTGCTGGAGGAGGCGTGTGGGCCACAAGGCCCAGACAGAATCTTCTGCTGCTGGCTCTGGTGGTCTTTATTTAGATGTTAGCCATATTTCAACATTCCAGGTAGCTGTACATTCCTTGTAGATTTTGAAGTCCTATGCTTTCATGAAAAAGCACCTGTTAGAACGAAGGAGTATTATCAATCATGTCTGCTTCTAATTTTACACATTTTCCCTTGAATTTCTTTTCTTTTTTTAAAATTTATTTTATTTTATTTTTTTAAAAGATTTTATTTATTTATTTGACAGAGAGAGAGAGAGCACAAGCAGGGGGAGTGGCAGGCAGAGGGAGAGGGAGAAGCAGGCTCCCCGCTGAGCAGGGAGCCTGATGTGGGGCTTGATCCCAGGACTCTGGGATCACGAGCTGAGCCGAAGGCAGACACTTAACTGATAGAGCCACCCAGGCCCCCCTTGAATTTCTTTTCTCAGTTCATCTCCATTCTTCTTTGGGGACCCCCTTCTTTTCTCACCAGCATTTCCTTTTCTCATGACACGTGTGACAGTCTCTATGAATGCCTGAGCCTGCTTCACTTCAGTCTCTCTCTGTTGTTGTTACCTGTTTCGTTGCCTTAATTTAGCTGCCTTCTCTGGTGTGCGCTACCCAAATCTGTCTTGATTTTCTTGATCTCTAGAAGTGCATACCTGCCACTCTAAAATCTTGAGAGGAATTCAAGATTTAGCCATTTACAACTTTCTAAACACTGGGGAAATGAAGTCCTCCCCAAATATTTTTTTTAAAAAATTGCTCCTTCCTGATACTGCTTTCTAAAGTCACCATTCCGTTTAATATGGGTGGTCAGTGGCACCACTGGATTTATACCTGAAGGCTTCCTGATCAGGAGCACATTTGTGCTTTGGGAAGTCATTTGTTTCACTAAAAAGAATTGATCCTTTTAGGCTGCTTGTATAACTTGACACAAATAATAAAAGATAGAGGCTTTGTTTAGTTAGTGTTCTAAGACTGGTGTTTGTTTACCTCTCTAGACACAAAAATCTTAATAGTCAGATGGTTTATATTCACTGTGGACGGGGGAATCTCCCTTTTCTTGGGATTTTAAAAGGATTTGTTGAAAATGACAGACCCACCCACACTAGAATGTGCCAACATATTTCTGTGATTCTGCCAATGATATGCATATTGTCCTCCCACTTTAATATTTCCCACAAAATACAATCACAATGGCCAGAGGAACTTGTCAGTGTGACTAAGGAATGGGTTCTTAACTGAGCTGGGCTGCGCTAGACTTTTCTTCCAGTTCTGCTTTCCTATTTCTTACCCCAGTCTGTTCTTGTCCGATGATGTGGAATTGGCCAATCCTAGATTTATTTACGCATTATTTTCAGGCTCTGCCACAGCTCATAGTTTAGGGCCAAATTTTACTGATTATCAGTTTCTACAATTTTGCCTCTCCCAATTTCTTCCTTTTACTCTTCACTTTTAACTTGGAGATTGTTCATATTTTCTTCATCTGAGTATTCTGTCCTGCATCTATGGTCTTTGGCTGTAGGAACACTATGCACATGTTGTGGCTAGGTTTTAAACATTTTTTGATGGGAAGATTCATACTTGTAAGGGGGTCAAGCTGAAAACTTGGGCATAAACATGGATGTCATGATGCTTCCAATGTAATTCTATTGAAAAGCCCTCTTTCCACACCTGAGCTCCTCTTGTTCAACAACAGGATGCCTGATGTTGTAATACACTCATTTGACCTCACATGACTTGGGCTCAGAATTCTTTTAGCAAAGAACAGATGTGCCTTTCAACAGTGACTTCTGATTGTTCCACTGAAGGTTCCAAATATTTTGATTTTTCTCTTTCTCTAGCTTATTTTTCTCCTAGCATGTAGTAGATAAATAACAAATAGCCACAGCAACAACGGTAAAACAAACAAAAAACCCAGGAGAACAGAAAAATGCAAGGGAGTTAAAAAGTGCAGTGGGAATCTAAATTTTTTTTTAAGGGGAAGTGTAAAGCTGCCTTAGCATCTGTTTTGAAGGGATTTCCCTCCTGTGTGTACCGACCAGTCTTTCCCTGGGGTTAGTGATTGTGCAGAATTGCAAATGCACCTTGGCTTGAAAACTGATTGCTTTACCTTATCCCTCGAGGGTTACTTTTCCTACTGTTCTTTGTTTCATACATAGGTGCACACGTGACTGCCACAGACTTACCTGAATTACTTGGAAACCTGCAATATAATATTTCCCGAAACACCAAAATGAAATGCAAGCATTTGCCTCGGGTTAAAGAGCTCTCCTGGGGCGTAGCTTTAGATGAGAACTTCCCCAGGTCTTCCAACAATTTTGACTACATCCTGGCAGCTGACGTTGTCTACGCCCACCCTTTCCTGGAAGAACTCCTCATTACTTTTGACCATCTGTGCAAAGAAACTACCATCATCCTCTGGGTCATGAAATTCAGGTTGGAGAAAGAAAATAAATTTATAGATAGATTTAAGGAGTTGTTTGACCTGGAGGAGATTTCCAGTTTCCCTAGCCTGAATATTAAGTTGTATAAAGCCCTGAAGAAAAGTTGGAGGAGTGCGTGATACCCTCAAGGAGGGCTTCGAAAGCAAAGCTGGTTTCTAGTAGAGTGTTCCTTTAAAGAAGATCCTGGATGATCTGACGTAGCATGACTTTCCCAAGGGGGACCCCCCCCGCAATGAACTTGCCTCACCCCAGACAGGGAGTTTCCCAGATACAGCACCTGGGTCCAGAGGGTGGCCTGTCCTACTGTGTGGTCATTGGTTAGGACAAGATCTGCTTTCCTTATCCCTCTATAGCACCATTTATTATTATTATCATTTTAATAAATGGTACTATTACTTTTAATGTTTAACTATAGGATAATTTTTAATGGTATCTCTAAAATGAACATTCCTATTGTTTTAAACATAAGCTTCTCTGATTCTCTCTTTAGGAATAAAGAAATAGCTTATAATGGGATCTGCAGGTAAATCTGAAAAGGCAGATGAATAATGTGATGGTAAATGTGAGATTATATTTTGTGGTTTTCATTAGTGCCAGTTTATAGGTGGTCTGTTGTCTCTGCTTTGTGGGGTGGGCCTCGAGTGCAACCTCTGAAATCAATCACGTTTATGGATTTGAGGTTATGGGCAAGGACATTTCACTCTAGTAAATGAAAAATGAATGGAAGCAAACATAAACACAGTTGAGATTTTGGAGGAGTTATTGTTTTATTTTTAAGCCAAGTACAGTTATGTTGAATCACAGAAACAGAGATAAATATAAAAACTCTGGGTTGAAAATACACATGAAAAGATTTAGGCCTCTAATCTCAAATAACCAGACATAGGACTGGTTTTAAAGTTTCAAGCTTTTGTGATGCACATATATAGACCTAGATATTTGAAATCCTATGTGATTTTCTTCACACGGACCTTAGAGATTAGAACAAAGACTGAAGTAATTAAAGTCAGTGCAAGGAGGGTAAAAATCGAAGATTGTGTCCCAGTGGTTCAGACTCCATTGGTGGGTGTCTACTCTTGCAATAGTCCTTAGGCTGTCATAGGGCCCCTGGGGTGGTGCTTATTCTCCTAGGCCCAGCCCTGTGCTTTGCTGGAAGTTCTCAGCCACTCAGGGTCCAGCACAACTGACAAAATGACTTCCTAGGGTCCTGATGTGTAAGGAGGATGCAAATATACTCCCAGTGGGTTTTTGGTTGTGTGGCCCATAGGGATGTCTCCCAGTTTACGTGGTCTCTTCCAATTTTCACAGCCCATTACTACATGAAGTCATGTGATCCTTATGACCTTTCTAAGAAGTTGAGGGAATGTCATTATCCCTACTTCACAACCAGCCTTGCTGGGGCTGAGAGGGCGGTCACTTGCCCCAGGCACATGGTGCAGAGGGCTTGTCTGAGCCTGGGGCATGTGTTTTTACCATTGCACTGCTTATATGCTTTTAAAAACAGCAATTCTCAAGCTCTTTGGTAAATGAGTGAAGTCATCTCTTCAAAATGGGATCGGTACCCAGAAAGGTAAGCAAATACATTAGGGGAAGTGAGAATTGCCCTTCCTTATATTTTTCCCTCTTGTTTCTGGCCTTAACTGGGTGGTCAGGGCAAGTGCATTTGGGAGGTGACATTTAAGCAAAGCAGGAAGGAGATGAGGGAAGAAGCAGTGTGTATATCTAGGGAAGTATGTTCCAAGCAAAAGGGGCAGGCGTGCCCCAGGGCATGCCAGTCATCTCACAGAAACAGCAAAGGCCAGTGTGCTTTGGAGCAGGGCAAGCAGGGGACACTGGTTAGTCAGGGAGGTCAAAGGGGGCCAGGTCATGTCTGATGTTCGTGGCAATCTGGCTTCTTCAGAAGCAGACTCTAAGGTGGAGTTCGGTTTGCCTGGCATTTACCACGGAGTGCCTCTAGGGTCGAGACCTGTGTGAGGGAGGTGGACAGAGGCAGAGGTTGAGCTGCAGGGCAGGCCCAACCACGTGGGGCCCTGGACCGAGACTGGCCTTTCCGAGTGGTCCTGTGTCGGGGTAAGCCTTCTGGGCCTTGGCGATCTGTGTCACTCGTCCCTGGATGTGGCTGCCCCGGGAAGGCTCTGTGACCTTGCAGCAGGTGACTCTGCAGCGGAGGGCCGTCTTGCAGCATCTGGCTACTTAGTTTCTCTGGAGGGGGTCTGGGAACCACTGCCTCTCAGGCAGTTGAAAGAACTTTGGCTTTTTCTCCAGGGAAGGGGAGAATCACTGGATGATCTAGAGTCGAGTGGAACAGTATCACCCCATGTGAGGACCACTCTGGCCACTGTTTTGAGAATACTACGAAGGGGCAAAGGGACCAGTTAGGAGGTTGCAACAGCTATCCAGGTAGGTGAGGAAGAGCCTGCAGCAGGGAATGAGCGCTAGAGGTGGTGAGGAGAAGTCGTTTCTACACACGTTTGGAAGCTAGAGCCAACAGACCTTCCCACCATATTGAGGAGTCAAGGCTGACTCTAAATTAGTGTTTGATCCCAGCTACTGGATGTCAAGTTAGAGTCCTCAGTTTAGAGATGGTCTGTAAAGCTCATTCAGGGAGTAGGAGGAACACAGAATAAGAGAAGGATGGAGCCCCGGGGCTGGCTGACATTAAGATCAGACGTGTGTATTTGAGACTTTTTTTGAGGTTCTGCCGCTCACCCACAAGTTGTATTAATATCTGTTGACTTTTGAAAGATTTGAATTTACTACCACAGTGGTTTTTGAACTGGTCAGTAGAGTTCTAAATTTCCTTCCAGCTGACTCAGGGGCTTCTGGAGTGTTTTAGGGGTAACTAAGTGGTTCCTCTGCTAAATGTCTGTATATCACTACTAAGCTATTTTTAGGTAGAAGAGATAAAGGGTCCTTTTCAAAGACTGTGTTAGGACCAAACCAGCCATATGGTTCCTCTTTCTGTAGGTGTCAATCTGTCAAACACAAGGATTTCTACAGCCATTGTTTTACTCTGTTTATAGCATTCACTTGCAGATCTTAACACCCACCCCCACACACTGTGTGTGCATCTACTTTTATCTTTTTGCTCTAGGGTCTCCACACTTGTCTAGATTTAATTTCATAATAATTTAATTTCAAAAGATGTAATTTGAGTAGGCTTTTTCTACCCTAAAACTTTATTTTATGGCTAGTTGATTTGTTACCTTTAGTCCAAAGGAGTTGACTGTGAATTTTGCCTTTACTCTACTTTTTTCTCTTTCTCTGTGTGTGTGTGTGTGTGTTCTTTTTTTGACAAGTTAAACTGTGTTACTGAGAACCTGGTCCAATTCTTGGAGTAACTTTCCAGATTTCTAATAGAATAAACACACCGATTGTCAAGGTTTTAATAGAAGTTATCACAGAATAGTTTTTGCTTCACAGAAGACATACCGACTTGCTAGTGATACTCTGTAGCTTAAAGTGTCCATGTTATACACATGTAACCACAAAAGTTGTTATGACCCAGACTGTATCAGTCGCCTCTAGGAAACTTAATACTGTACTAAGATCTTCTATCTTAGAATTTACTAATATATCTATTGCGCTTGTGCCAATTTTTGTCAACCAGAATTTTTCAAAAATTGGTTTTTATTCCATATTTTCATTCTGTTTCTTTTTTGGGTAAAGAATTGTGACATTGGGTAACTTCCTAACAGATTTGGAGCCAAGAGTATAAATTCATTGCTGTGGAAGAAAGAAGAGGGGAAGCATAACAGAATGTTCTTTTATTTTTTTGAATCCTTGGGTTCCAGGAGCATGGTGTTCTCTGTAAATGCCTGGTCTTTAGAGACAGAGACCATCTCCCACTTGTCGTTGGTGTATGGGCAGGTAAATCATTTCCAAATATCCTTTGGAAGTAAAACATGTCCACTGGGTAGGATTTTCATATGAGAAAAGATTTACATGTACTAATTTTGAAGGCAAACTGAGAACCTTGGGTTCTAGAAATAAAAGTATCTGATCTACTTAAGGATACTTATTGATAAGCTTAGAAGGAAATTAATATATTGTGCCTCCTCTTTTGACTCCATTTTAACTTAGTATTGGTGATATCTACACGGAGAGGAAAAAAATTGTCAAATATGTGCATTTATTTCTCCACCAAATTATAGGGCTATAATAAGAAACAAAGTTGGGTCTGGAACAGATAAATAATTTCACAAAGTGTAGGCAATCAGGGCAAAGTAAATTTAAAAACCATAGACATTTGTATGTTTGTGTTTCTAATTCTTTAAGTCTTCTTTATGAAGCCTGGAAATAGTTCACAAATGATTTCCACATCCAGGTTTTGGTATTTTTGAGTTTGTGATGTGAAATTCAGTCTGGAATATTTACCTGCAAGCCCAGTTTCAACATCTGCTCTGCTTCCAAGTTCTACACAAAATCAAAGACTGTGTCTGTATTCTTATGTGGCCCTATTAATGGGGCAGTTGTGTTCTCGGGGCCTTATTAGTATCAGTTAGTTCCTATTAATTCCTCTATGAAGAGGGTGCAGGCTGGACACCGGTGTGTACTCAGCTTGTGTATACCTGTGTAGTACTTAGGTTGCTGGGCATGCACCACTGTCTATTCTACCCAACTAACCTTTGGCCTCTGTCTTGAACAGAGCTTTTATTGGTACAGCTCAGAGGCAGGATTTTTTTCTTCTCAATTCTCCTGGTTTCCTTGATTCTAAGGCAGTTGTCTTGCCCTGAAATCCAATCAAGTTTTAGGCACTCGAACATCAAGGAATTTAAAAGCATCATTAAAAATGAAAACAGATGTCCAGGTCAGTTTTGTGATAAATGGCATTAATAGAAAAAAGTAGAAGAATACAGGATATCTGCTGTCAACTACTAACACTTTACCATATGAAAAAAATACTCTTTGGTTTTCCAAACAAAAGCATAGCCAAATAAAATGAAAACAGTCCCTTCAAAAAATGTTTTAATAGCCAGACGTTATTTCATAATGCCACAAATATAGGACACAGGCTTCTGAAAATTACTTATTTGGTAAATGCTAGATTTTGTAGTTTAGGGTTTGAGAATTTTCATATTTTTGTTGTCCATAATTTTAAATTATGAGTAGCCCCTTACCTTCACTGGATTTTTTATTTATTTTTTTTTAGTGTCATGATTTAATTTGGGTTTTCTTATCTAGTGCCATGATTTGATTTGGGTTTCTTATCTCTTTCTGTGTTTCCTTTGTTGGAAGAGTATAAATCATGATAGCAAAGGTTGTCTCTTTGTCACAAACCATCATAAATAAGCCCAAAGAACAGGCCATAAAAATGTAAGAAATTCTTAGATTAAAAAACATGAGTAATGTTTTCTACCCACCTGCTGTTCAGAGGTAAAAGTACACTTTGCATCTAGTAAATTATTAACACTTTTCTAACCAAGGATTTCCTCCTTCCTTAGGATCTCTGTGATTTATAGATAGTCAATTTAAGAATTAGAAAGATGTCAAACATGATAAACACATTTCATAATCATATGTTAAAAAGAAGAATTGAGGAATACTTATAATAAGATTATAATTATTTAT